CCCCCCCACACACACACACACACATAGCAAAGAGAATGTTCCATCTCAAAACAAAACGAAATTTAGGTGTGATGAATGAGCGTTCTACATTTTGACTTCATGACGGGAACAATACTTTCGGCTGGCCTGAAACATTTGACTGGATTTACATTCCATGAGAATGGCGTCATCTCTTTACACGGAATCTACAAAGGACATTATCTTCTCGACATCTGGGTCACATTCGAAGCGGCTGCTCCAAATCTCGTTACAGTAAACTCTCTGACTGTGGCCTGCGTGCATCCTCGCCCAATCCACTGCTTGGACTCCGTGGAGGTGCACCTGACGAGGGCCAGTTAGACCCCAGTGTGCGTGTTTCCTGTCTAATGAGTCGTGGTCTTGACCTGTCACGCCCAGTGAGGGCCTGGGTGAAGAGAGTGCAGCGGACACTGTAACATGTCATACAGGTCTACGGTCACACTGACTGTTTTTATCTTGGTACGAGTTCAACGCCCCCTTCGAGTTTATTTTTTTTCCAATGAAAGTGTTTAAACACCCCCATCGACACAACTTAGATGGTACAAGAGGCAAGCTTTCGACCCTGCCTATCAGGACCAACCCGGGCTTAGAAGGATACAACATCCCGGAAGGAAAGACCGAGTTACTCGATAAAAATCTTATTATCCCCACTCGGAAATCGAACTCGGGTCTCCTGCGTGCGACATCAAAGCGTCTAACAGTTACAACACGGACACCGGCCGACTCTAATTGGTCACTTTTGTCACTTCGAGCGCGAATCACTCTAACTATTAAGCGTTAAATCTAATCAGAAAGAACCCACCCTCACACAAACTTTTCATTATCCCGGAAAACTCTCCATGTGCCTGATTTTTTTTATTGCTCTTTCGAAACTATCCGCTTCCAACTCTTCTAATCCCGACTCGGCATGAACGCAAGCATCATCCAACACTCTTATACTCACTATCGGTGCAGATAGCTACTGGTACCCCTTTAGCCCGATAAAAGTAAACTTGAGCCTTTCATTTATAACTTACTTGGCCAACTACGCACATCTGGGATCTCTGCTCTTAACAATGAAACATCTGAGACACCGTGACGTCATCCACGAAAGACTCTTTCAGCTTAACGTCACGAATTCGAGAGACAGGGGGGGAGGGGTGAAGAAATTTACTTTTACCGGCTACAGCGAGGGCGGGTTCTGTAGCGTGTCATGTTTCAAGTGTCAAAAAAGGTCCATCTAAATTACTCTGAACGTTATTGCTGTAGATGGAAGGTTTTTCGCAGTGATCCTGTTACATAGTATAAAGGAACCCGTACCAAATTGTCAAAGCAATATAATTTATTTAATTTCACACTTTGGTCCTTCACTTGCCCTGTCTTTCAGTGTTTATTGTCTTCGAGTTAGAGATTCCAAATCAATGCTGACCGTTGACATTTTCAGCAGCTGGTTTAGAGCTCAAAGCCACCATCCCCCAACATATAACTGCTTTTTCTAAAACTTGCTTTTTATAGTGAGGAATTTGTGGATGAGGGGGTGGCAAACACTTAAGAAGACAAACAGAATCGAAGAACAACGGCAAATAAGGACAATCTTTAGAAAAAAACACCCACAAAAAATCCAACACATTCTCAGTAAGTTGTTTTGATAAAACGTACAAAATGGCGACGTGTGTGTGTGTGTGTGTGTGTGTGTGTGTGTGTGTGTGTGTGTGTGTGTGTTTGTGTGTGAGAGTGGAAAGGGAGAGGGGTAGAAACAGAGGGCCGAAGAAGTCTTTGGAATATCTTTGACTTTCAACGAACCCTTTGCATTTCGACGTTTTCCTTTCCATCTCCCTCCGCGAACTTCGCAAGAACCAGTGAGATTTTCTCCCCTCCCCAACCCCCCGCACTTCCCACCTCTTCCAAATCACCTCGTCATCTAGTGGATGTGACGCTCGCGAGCCGACCAACAACCCCTCTCCAAGTTGACAAGTTGAGGGGACGCGCACAGCGCCCAGTGTTGAACCGTTTTTACAGTCCGCATTTCGCGCGCTTCGGTACGAACGAACAGAAGCCTAGATCTACGCTTGGAGCCACTGTATGCACAGTACACAAACGGAGAATTTCGCGGCCTATTTCACTGGTTTCAATGTTATTGTGAACCCCACGCTCTCACACCACTTTCATTCTGCTGGGGATAAATGTCATTGTCAGCTTTTACGTGTAATTATTCGCCGTGCGTGATGCTCTAGAAGGAAGTTGACGAGAATATAGGTTTAAATCTCTGACGAGTTGTGCAAATCACGTTTGACGTATTTTCAGATATGGCTATGGAATAAGAATTTTCGTTGTTTCCAAAGATTCGATGGACAGATGACTTTTTATTTCCAAGTGATTTCTTTTCATTTTTTTGAATTGGTAAAAATTCATAAACGAGGTTTCCTCGTCTAAGAAACGGTCGTCAAATTAATTTATTTATACTCGTGCCGCAGTGGCACCTTCTTCAGTACACCGGACTTCACAGCGAAGGAACAATCATCAGAGCAAAATATTTTCTGCTCTACGCTTAAGTTCAACGACTTTATACCTGCCCTTCTGAGCTGATTACCCAAGTACCACGTTAAGTGCGTCGCCAACTTTATCCCACGCTACTTGTTGTTTGGTAAAAAAAAAGATCAACACAAAATCCACAAAAACAAAAAAACAAAAACTAACCAGAAGTGAAGATTATCTGAACTTGTGCGAGCAATTGGCAGATGTTAGTTTATTCCGCTTTCCTAGGCCCTGTGTGCTAATTGTTATTGTTCTGACAGAGGAGCTCGAATCAGGATGAAGATGGTCGGGACTGTTTGGAGTGTGACAACTTTAATGCTCCTAGGTATGTATACAATGTGCCCCCCCCCCCCTTTCGTCTTGTCCTTATTTCCCCTAGCTGTTAGCAACTGTCTTATTTTGCGCTATACTAGATAGACTGGGGTTAGAATGTCACTCTAGAACAGATGGAACGTTAATCGTTTAAGAAAAGTTCAATATCTAAAATGAGAAGCGTGTCGCTCTATATCAGAGCAGGAACAATAGGTTCTTTTTTCTGGAACCTCGATTGTTTACAAGTCCACGTATCACTGAAAAGCTGTTTTAGCTGCACGTCGCTTTTGGAGCACAATGTGTTGTATTACTGATTGAATAAAACCCACCCTGTTGCTTACTTGACGACTCTCTCTCTCTCTCTCTCTCTCTCTCTCTCTCTCTCTCTCTCTCTCTCTCTCTGTGTCTGTCTGTCTATCTGTCTGTCTGCCTATCTGTCTGTCTGTTAACAATTCGCTTGTCCCTCCTGCCCTAGCCGCGTGACGTCGTCCGTCACATGCGTGTGGTCCTTTACCTCTTCTCGCCTCTCACATCCCGGAATTTATGTTATCAAAACGGATGAAATGTGAGTCGACGAAATTAAAGTTTATGCCCGTTATTTTACCCAAAGCTTAATTTCATCCAAACGTTCTTTCTGTTTTCAGCAAAGCTCATGGCGGAAGATCAGAAGCTTCATCCTTTGGTCTCCCTTCATCCAAGTGTTCAAAAAACATCGGTATCCTTGGATACAATTGGCTGGTCACCAAGGTGAGTTCTATCATCCATTTTGATGTTAATTAACCTTCAGTATATTGTTGTTTTGTTGGGCTTTTTTCCGAGTTAAGGCGGTTATGCCTAAAACATTTTAATTAGGTGTTGTTTTTCTGTCTAAATTTGAAGTACTTGTGCGGTGTCTGGGCCCCACATACATTACCCGAGAAAAACAAGACACGCAAATGGCGAGGGCAGAAAGCAGGAGTGGGTGGAATCGAGACTACTTTTTTGGATGAGCTAACATGACGAAAAGAATCGAGTACACGTTTGTTCCCCCCGATGAAGAGACAAAATTATTTTGAAATAATGTGATTGGATTACGTCACCGAGCTTTGATTCAGACTTGAAAGTCAAAGAGGTGACTGCAGCAACAAGATAATCAGAGTGGTTTCTATTTATAGAAACTTCGATTCATAAGTTTGAAAGTATCGAGGCTAGTTTGTGTGTCATGTTCGTTTATCTAGCCTATCCGACTGTGAGGCTCGGCATAGCTAATCGTGGTGTGGCCTTATCGCAGGACACTCGGTTCTCCACCAGCGAGCGAGAGGCGGGGTTGGCGAGGCGGTTTCAGGAAGCGACGAACGACGCTAGCTGGTCGAGGGAGATAGGAGTAGGAGAGAGAGAGAGAGAGAGAGAGAGAGGTCGGGAGTTAAGAGGCAGTCAGTCAGTCTTGAGTCAGTACTTGACGAGAATAGACCAAGCCCGGCCGCATGTCATTATATATCGCCAGCAACGTGTCTGTGTAACTTCATTGTTCATTGAGGAAAAGCAGACTTCGGTTCTCGGATACACAGTTTATAAAGTGTGTTCAACAGTGGTAGCGTTCAGAACATCGTGGAGTGCCCTATTCAAGCTGTGCTATCAACTACTATCAACACGTGTTATTTTCTTCTTATATGATACTGTGTGCCAACTGTTAAGTTTTTTTTATTCATTATAATATTATGCTCAACGTGTGGTTTAGCAGTGCTAAATCGTGACCAAGTGTTCCGTAAGGGAAAATCGATCTAAGTTGACTCAACTTCAGAAAAAAAGTGATTGGCAACAGTTGCCATCTGGTGCAGTGTTTCAAATGCTTTCGATGTATAAACTGGAAACCCTGCGGGATTTATTAATGGAAGTCATGTCGAGTTTGAGCTGTACCGACTGCATCAGCCTGAGAAAATTGTGCTCTCGACTGCCCAAGATACAGCCGGGAACAGAAACACAGTCCAATATGACGTATTCAAAGGTACTATCGAAACTATTATTATTGTGGTTCTATATAGGCCTGACGACCCTCTAACTTAAAGTACTGTTTAAAGAAACGCTCTCATATGACCCAATTATGCAGTTGCGAGCACCGTACGGCTTTCTAAAAAGAAAAAGAACAAAACAAACAAAGAAAAGACAAAAAATCCAAGAAATAGCCTATTCGAATCGTGCCTAAAATTGTAATGCGTGTCTCTTTTTTCCAAGGGTATAAGGGGCCTATTTCTTGTTTTGTTTTTCAGCCCACCTCTATTGTAATGAGTAAAACAGCCGTGTGTGTCCTTTGGGGTCAACAGCTTAAGAGTTACTAACAAAGGCCCCCGTGATCGTCCGCCTTATTGCGTTTTCCTGATTTTTTTCAAGGGATATATCTCACTTTGTCCGTCTCTACTTTTGTTTCCTTTCTCAGGGGTATTCTTTCTTGTTTTGTTGTTGAGCTCACATCTGCCGCTGTCAGTAAAACTTGAATTTGTTAAATTGGTTTCTCGTTGCCCTGTGTGTTTTTTTAGACCTACAAAGTACGAGTCCCATGATCGTCCGCTGTATTATGTTTCCACGATGTTTCAAGGGATCGGTATCCAATCTCCCTTTTTGGTCTGTTATATTATTTCGCCTCTGTGCAATTGCCAAGTGACCCATGACGTGTTGTGGATTATCACCGTGCGTCTTACCCGCTATAAGTAGGCCTAATATTGGAAACGAGGATTTCCCGATTACGGCTCCAAACTCCTCCTTATTCGCTTGCCTGTTTAGATAAATTAGGTTTAAGCTATTACTTAATTCTCTCTCTCTCTCTCTCTCTCTCTCTCTCTCTCTCTCTCTCTCTCTCTCTCTCTCT